ATAAAAGAAGTAATATGAAAATGAGATCAGGGCTCCATAACGGTAACAACCAGCTTAGGAGGAGGGGCCAGGAGCAGCCCCGAGCCTGAGAGATCAACACAGAGGGGAGCCTGCTCCGAGCCTCCATGGTGTGGCAGGGGACAGGCCCCCAGCAGACACACACACACGTGGCACCTGCTCCAAGCCTCCACGGCCAGACTGTGGCTTAGGCCCGCTCCCCATGGGCTTCTAGTATATCAGATAAACCCTGAACACTCCCACTATCTTAACAGAGCTTCACAGAGCAAATCAGATCTATCACTCCTGTAAAAATTGACGCAGTAAACTAGTCTAATGAAAACACTGGAGGTCTTAAGTGCCACAGAATGCATTCAAAATGGAGCATGAACAACATCCACATTAATCTGAAGAGCACAGCTCCATGTTACTAGTGATGATCAAGTAACCCAAGCAACTGACACACTACAGGTCATGCAATCATCAGTTTGGTCTAAGCATTAAGGTTTTGAAATTTCTTCAAATTCAAGATTCTGATTTATTTTTAAGTGGGAAAAGAGTAACAAGACAAAAAAAATCAGATACAGAATGGTGGTTATCAGAGGGGAAAGAGGATGAGGGCAACATAAAGTGGGTAAGGGTTCAAATATACTAGGTATGATAACAGAAGGAAACTAGACTTTGGGTGGCGAGTACACAACAGAGTCCACAGATGTTAAACTATAATATTTTACAGCTGGAAATTATATAATGTTATTAACCAATGTTACCCCAATAAATGTAGTTAAAAATAGCTAGAAACAAACATTAGAATAAGTTAAACGAAGCATTTCTCTTCTTGGGAATGTTCTAGTATAAGAGCAATAATTTACTTAATAAACATTTTGTGAAGGACTGGGCATTGAACCTTAGTGAAGGGTAGGAAAACACTGAGGCAATCACAAGCAAGAAGTCTGCAGAACTTGAAAACCAGTAACGAAAAGAAAACAGATAAACACACAAAGAAAATAGAGACTGAAGACACTTAGAGAAAATAAGGATAACTGGTATCCAGATATACAACCCAATTCAGAGCCCCTTTCATGGGGCAACTATGGGCAAAGGATATTTTTAAAATATTACTTTCCACCCACAATGTGGTCCTGTGACTAATATCCAAGGTGTACAGACTCCCTAATCCAGAGAACCTGTTTAGCAGAGTGCGGATCCAATTACAGGCATTGGTATCAAATGAAACTAATGGTGACTCTCTATTTTTTTTTATTTATTGTTACCTTGAGCGAATTATGTAAACTCTTTTAAGACCCATCTCATCCAGACTACGGAGACGATAATAATACCAGCATCATCTAATTAAAAAAATAATGCACAAATTAATACAGATATAGTGCTAGGAAGAGAACTGAACACTTAGTACATGTGCCCTGAGAGTGACACATTACTATGAAGAAGGTTATTGGGAACGAAATGTAAGAATGGAAATAAAGAAGAACCCAGCGTCACTTGTCTTGGTTCTTGAGTGAGAAAGAATTTTCCAAACACCATCCAGACCTTCTTGACCCTTAAGAAGTGTGACTGGAACCTTCTTTGAATTATAATGTTAAAATCAGCAGCTTCTTCCAAAGACCGCATGGCCCTCCCAAGGAGACTGTTATATTTCCAAATGAAGCCCCATGCACTCTGCTTAGTGTCAACAAAAATTAGGCTACTGTATAAGCTTGCAACTCCCGGAAAAGCCAGAAACTGAAATCTAAGGCCTGTAGGAAATTTCTCCCTGAAGTAATAAGATTAAAGTCCTTAACAACGCTTAGCAAAGAGATTAGTGAGAGGAAAGTGAACATTTGTACAAAAGAGTGCTGGCCAACTCTATGTCTTTCCACCTCACTTACTAGTACTTACGTGGTCCTAGCCAGCAGAAACAAGTACCATGCCCTTCTGTGCTAAAGCTGGATTCACGAGAATTTTAATATTTGAGTAATATTTAGGGGCATCT